TTAAATCCAGCAATTTAACATTGTGCATTGGTAAATATAATGCTCGCAACAACTAAAAGTCTCCCATGTATTGACAGACAAAACCAAAGTTATAAATCTACACCTCCTATTCTGAACCACATTCCTAGATGTAAATAAGCATCTGAGCATGCTGCTCCATATCTTTACAGAAGCAATTACAAACAAGCCTTATCAGTTGGTGCTAAGTCACCAGCGCGCACAATGCTTATCTGCTATGCCCTCTACTGGATACAGTACACAAGGCAAGTCCCATTATTTCCAATTAATTTTTGGCATCATCACTCTGCATCTGCTTTAAGAATGCAAGGCGTGAAATTTATAGTAGCAGGTTTAATATTCCATCCAGCCAAAATCATTTTGCTACAAGGACTTACCTTTGGTGAAATATTTTGGGTTGGTTTTTTTAAGTACATAGATTGCCTCTCCCCTTCTTACAGCCCACTGTCCAAACTCTCAAGCTGTCACAAAACTCAGTACGTGGCAGGAATAATTTCATGCTGAGTAAAATGTGTTTAATTTCACATCTTGTAAGAATAATTACTTAGCATAATGCCACTTAAAATGTATTTTTATCTGCAAATGCTAATGAAGCTACAAAAACCTGAATCATCTTTTGAAAGAAGTAGGGTATTAAGGGTGCTTTGCCTTCACTCTCTTCTTCGCAGTGGCTGCCTGAAGAGAGAACCCCGGACTGGAGGAATAATCCCTGACTAGATCCTGCTGTCTTCAAGCTGGGTGTGAGCCTGGTGGCTTTGAGGGGAATTTAATCCCATCGGCCTCTCCGGAGCCTCCCAAGGTGCTGAAAACAGAGCTTCAGGCTCCCTGGGGCTGCCCAGTTCTCACCCAGGTCCACCTAGACAGCCACTAGGAGGAGGCTCAGGCCTGGGGCTACAGATACCTACCCTAAGGACTGGGCTGGTGGCAGACCTGTGGCCTGTGGCCTTAGGGATTGTGTCTCTTTGATCATCGGTGCACCCAAGTCATAAAGACCACTGTTCTATCTGTTGTTTTTCTCAAGGCCTAAAGCAGTAGTTAACAGAGAATGACAAGGAGTAAGGGGGAAAAGGAGTGCCTTGCTTTTAAAACTAAAAAAAAAAAACCCTTAAAAAGAAAAACCTCTTTTATTCCTGGTTTTAGAATTACAGAAAAGTTGCAACGATAGTTCAGAAAGTTCCTGTCTCCCTTTCACCCAACTTCACTCGTCTTAATATCTTATGTAATGATCAGAACCAAGAAACTAACATTAGGTCAAATACTATTAACTACACTATAGATTTAAATTGAGATTTCACCACTCTTTCTAACAACAGTGTTTTTCTGTCCTAGGATCCAGTCCAGGATCCCACACTGCACGTAGCTGTCCGGTCTCTAGTCTCCTTAAATTCATGACACTCTGTCTTTTCTTGTCTTTCATAACCTTAACATGTTTGAAGAGTACTGGTCAGGTATTCTGTAGACTGTCTCTCAATTTGGATTTGTGAGATGTTTTCTCATGATTAAATTGAGGCTGGCTTTGGTGGCTCGTGCTTGTAATCTCAGCACTTTGGGAAGCTGAGACGGGCAGTCAGGAGTTTGAGAACAGCCAGTTTTACCATGTTAATGGTAAAACTCCATTTCTACCAAAAATACAAAATTAAGCAGGTATGGTGGAGGGCACTGTAATCCCAGCTACTCAGGAGGCTGAGGCACAAGAATCACTTGAACCTGGGAGGTGGAGTTTGCAGTGAGCCGAGATTGCCCCATTGTACGCCAGCTTGGGCAACAGAGCAAGACTCTGTCTCAAAAACAAACAAACAAGCTAAACTGAGGTTCTACATTTTTGGGAAGAATGCTGCAGAAGCAGTGATTCTCTTCATTGCTTTGTGGAGCAGGCCCGCTTTCCTAACAATGAAGCTAAGCAGGGGCATGGGATGAGAGCCTGAATGAGAGCAGAATCCCCCTAGAAATTTGAGTGGTAGCTTTAAGGAGAGTTAGGCACCAAGCTTAAGGGCAAGTGACACACTTTTATTACCTCTTGCCTCCTTTCTCTGTTACTAGGGTGGCAATGGATAAGGGGAATATTTCTTTGCCACAGGTAGACAGCACAAATTTTTTTTTTTTTTTTGAGACAGAGTCTTGCTCTGTTGCCCAGGCTGGAGTGCAGTGGCGCAATCTCAGCTCACTGCAACCTCCACTTCCTGGGTTCAAGCGATTCTGCTTCAGCCTCCCATGTAGCTGTGACTATAGGTGTGCTCCACTACACCCAGCTAATTTTTATATTTTTAGTAGAGACAGGGTTTCACCATATTGACCAGGCTGGTCTTGAACTCCTGACCTCATGATCTGCCCATCTCAACCTTCCAAATGCTGGGATTACAGGTGTGAGCCACTGCATCTGGCCACAAATGTTTTTTTAATCCAGTGTTGCTGAGACCAGCAGAAGGATAAAGGGTAGCCAAGGAAAGCAGAGAATTACACATGTTGGTGTGGGAAAGGAGGTGGGGAGAGATGTGCCAAAACAAAAGTGTGGTCTAATGACCATTTCAGGGTCCAGTGAAGCCCTTTGCGGATTCAGCAGGGCTCCAGATAGCCCAAGAATGAGATGCAGACATCTCAACAGGTGGGAAACTTGTTAACTTGTGTTGAGCGGGTGGTGGTAAACATTTCAGAAGCATCACTTTTAACAATGAGAAAGCAAGTTTGAGTTCGATTCCTTGGTTGGGTAGAATGTAGTAGTGGTGAAAAAAGATCCTTGGGCAGATTTTCAGACTTGCATTTTGGCTTTCTCCCACTCTGGAATGGAAGCTCTTTAGGGGACAGGACCCTTGTCTGGCTCTCTTCTGAAAACCTTGTATTCAGGCCTGGCACATTGTAGAAACTCAAAAAATGTTTATTGATTAAATGTACTAAAAATAAGTGAATAGGCTGGGTATGGTGGCTCATGTCTGTAATCCCAGCACTCTGGGAGGCTGAGGTGAGAGATTGCTTGGGTTCAGGAGTTCATGACAAGCCTGGGCAATATAGCAAGACTTCACCTCTGTTTCAAAAAAATTAATAAAGAATAAATGGGGTGCTCATTTACAAACCATGCTCTTGGCTTCTCCACTCACCCCAGCTCAGTGATCTACAACCCTATCCCCCAGGATGTTTTTGAATGTCCAGCAGGGGCCCTGTGCTCTGAAGTGCAAGCTTCCTGCCCCATGTCAGTCCTCTAAGCCCCTGCAGCAGCTGCTTTGGTGGGAGACTGTTCTCTGAGAAGTCCCTGGGACCAACAAAGTCTACACTTTGTTGTAGTAGAAGGGGAAGGTAGACTGAGATCAAATATATAGACGGTGAAATCTAAGTTTGGGAAGAGGAGGAGATAATGAAGATGCCTCCTTCCTGATGGGCCATGGTTTGGGGAAGCCAGTAGAAAGAGGGAAGGACAGTCATGGTAATGAGGTCTCATGAAAATGAATTGTGAGGACATGATTTTTACTTTGTGTGTGTGCATGCGTGTGCACAGATTGAGATGTGTTTTCCTTACTGGGACTGATTTCATTTCTTCAACTGCTTAGTGCTCTTTGGTTACTCTCTTCTAATTCCCAGGTACCCATAGAATTTAAATAATTTCTAAGTTTCATTGTAATAAGAATTATTTAAAATTTCCAGATGCATATTTCGTCAAGACGTTTTTAAACATAAAAGAGAGAAACACAGTACCAGGAGGCTTTGAACATTTGTTTTACTGAGAAGTAGAAAGTAGATAAGAACTGTTTTTTATTTTTTGTGGGTTTTTTTTTTTGTGTGTGTGTTTTATTTTTTGAGATGGAGTCTCACTCTGTCACCCAAGCTGGAGTGCAATGGCGTGATCTTGGCTCACTGCATCCTGTCTCCTGGGTTTAAGCAGTTCTCTGCCTCAGCCTTCTGAGTAGCTGGGATTACAGGCACCTGCCACCATGGCCAGCTGATTTTTATATTTTTAGTAAGGGTGGGGTTTTACCGTCTTGGCCAGGCTGGTCTTGAACTCCTGACTTCCTGATCTGCTCACCTTGGGTTCCCAAAGTGCTGAGATTACAGGAGTGGGCCACCTTGCTGGGTTGAGAAGAACTATCATTACTGGCATACTAATGAAAACAGTGAACATTACTTGCAGTTGGTCTATACTAGGCACTGTTCAATGCACTTCATAAATATCCTTTTTCATTCTTACAGCTGCATCATGAGGTAGTCTATTATATTTCCATTCTACAGAAAAGGAAATTAAGGCCCACAGAAGTTTATTGTTATTTTTTTATTTTTTTGAGATAAGGTCTCACTATGATGCCCAGACTGGAGTGCAGTGGCACAAACACAGCTCACTGCAGTCTCAACCTCCTGAGCTCAAGCGATCCTCTCACCTCAGCCTTTTGAGTAGCTGGGACCACAGGCACCCAACACCAAGCTCGGCAATTTTTTTTTGAGACGGAGTTTCGCTCTTGTTACCCAGGCTGGAGTGCCATGGCGCGATCTCGGCTCACCGCAACCTCTGCCTCCTGGGTTCAGGCAATTCTCCTGCCTCAGCCTCCTGAGTAGCTGGGATTACAGGCACGCGCCACCATGCCCAGCTAATTTTTTATATTTTTAGTAGAGACGGGGTTTCACCATGTTGACCAGGATGGTCTCGAGCTCTTGACCTCATGATCCACCTGCCTCGGCCTCCCAAAGTGCTGGGATTACAGGCTTGAGCCATCACGCCCGGCTCGGCAATTTTTAACAATTTTTTGTGGAGATGAGGTCTCAACTATGTTGCCCAGGCTGGTCTCAAACTCCTGGCTTCAAGCAATCCTCCTATCTTGGCCTCCCAAAGTGGTGGGATTACAGGTGTGAACCACTGCGCTTGTCCCACACAGAACTTTAAAAACTTCCTCCAAGTCACACAGCTAGGAAGTGACAGAGCTGGGAGTCTAATCAGTATGCTATACAGTGCTTCTGGTACAGTCCAGAAAGCCTATGTTCTGGAAATAATCCAGTTTCTGCTCTTTGCTCTTTTTTTTTTTTTTTTTTTTTTGAGATGGAGTCTTGCTCTGTCACCAGGCTGGAGTGTTGCGGCGTGATCTCGGCTCACTGCAACCTCTGCTTCCTGGGTTCAAGGGATTCCCCTGCCTCAGCCTCCCGAGTAGCTGGGACTACAAGTGTGCACTACCACGCCCGACTAATTTTTTGTATTTTTATTTTTTACTATTACAAAAGTTTATTTAACAAAAAGTCTAATATGAAAATGTACATGACCTAATTTTTACATCATAGTAAAACAGTCCCTATGGAGAGAGGACATGGGTTTCTCTGCTGAACAGCCATTATTTATACTCGTTCCAAGGCTTCTAACATGTTAGTACTATTTCCTCATATTACCACCACTCCAATATTGTTCTGTTGTCTGCTAGTCGCCATCTCCACACATTCATCTATCACAAGATTTATAAAGGGATCAAATCCCCGCAATATTCTTTGGACATGTCTGCCACCATTTAATTTCAATAACTTCTTGTCCACAAATTTTTTCAACTCGGGAGGGTGAGCTTTGCTCATGATGGCTACTCTGTGGGCACATAGAGGCCTTGGAACCGTATTTTTTTTTTTTTTTAAGACGGGGTTTCACCATGTTGGTCAGGCTGGTCTTGAATTCCCGATCTCAGGTGATCTGCCCGCCTTGGCCTCCAAAGTGCCTGGATTACCAGCATGAGCCACCACGCCTGGCCTAATTTTTTGTATTTTAGTAGAGACGGGGTTTCACCATGTTGGTCAGAATGGTCTCGATCTCCTGACCTCTTGATCTACCTGCCTTGCCTCCCAAAGTGTTGGGATCACAGGCGTAAGCCACTGGGCTGGCTCTTTGCTCTTTTGGGGAAAAATGAACACTCTAGACCCACATCCTTGCACGTGCTTCTTTGTGCAAGCAATATAAACTACAGTTATCCCTTTTCCTGGGAGGTAAGTCATAGTGACTTCCCACAAGAGATGGCACATGGCTATGGGAGCTTTTAAGAGATGAGATGAAGGTGTTGGCCGGGCGTGGTGGCTCATGCCTGTAATCCAGGCACTTTGGCAGCCAAGGCGGGCGGATCACCTGAGGTCAGGGGTTCAAGACCAGCCTGATCAATATGGTGAAACCCCGTTTTTTTGTTTTGTTTTGTTTTTTTTTAAAGAGATGAAGGTGTTAAGGTGTTGACTTCATCCAGGTGCATGATAATAAAAAAGGAAAATAGAATATCTATTGTATCCAAATTATATGCAGGTCACATGTTTCACATGACAATATAAGCACAATTACAGGATTTTATGCGATCCCATAAAATAAAGTTCTTTTCTTTATCTTTTATGCGATCCCATAAAATAAAGTTCACACATTTTCTTGGTACAAGTGAGCTCATGTTATTTCCCAGGTTTAGGCTCTTTAAATCAACTATTCAGCAAGGGACGAATGAAAAAGGAAAAGTTCTGTCCTAGTAAAAGCCAACCCTGTGAACTAGGTCATCTGTATATCTATACATCTTTATCAAATGCACGAAGTGCATGTAGCATGGTTTGTGAGGTCACATCAGAAGGGGATTTTCATTTCATGAGAGGTGCCAAACTTAGTTGCCTCCTAAATACGAAGGGCCAAATTACTTCTAATTCTGAGAGTAAATGAAGGAAATTTTGGTGAAGCAATTCAGTGGATGACAAATGTCACCTCACCAAGACTGTTATAACAGCTATTATTATTACTATTTTTACTACGGTGTATATTTTCACAAATCGTACATCAGAACCAAGAGTCAAATTTGGGAGAAATCACCATCACCTACACATTGAATATGTAAGGTTCACATTTAGAAAATCAGACACCTAGGCCTGCAAAGAGGTTTCTCCCCTGTGGACTTGTAGCATTTTAAATAAAGTGGCTAAACCAAAGAGAAGAATCATGAATACCAACACAGGGTGGACTCCGTTTCTGGAAGGTAAAGTCTAATTCCAGTGGAGCTGGGACATATTTCTTTCTCCAAAATATAAAAGTATGATTGTGTTTTGATGTCTACTTAAGAGGGGGAAGAAATATATAAACTAGTGCAATATTTTTCAAATTGAGCTTCTAGCAGCTGATTCAGCGGGAATGTAATTTATGTTAATAAGTTCCTGGATTTCAAAGTGACTTTTTTCTTGTCACACTAAAACCTTTTAATTTGGGTATATATTCCTAAGTCCAGAATGGGTAGAGACATTCTCAGTCAAAAAGCCAGGGATACAATTATCCCAGTCTAAAAGGGGGACAAATTATATTCTGGAGGGTTGAAGGAGAGGGGACAGTTCAATGTATGGTTTTTCAACAATTTCCTGCAACATAGTTAACGTTACACATCATTTACCTCTAGGCAAGTTTATCCTAATTTTAAAATGGCTGCATTACTTGAGGACTTTAATGTGCCATAGAGATGATGGTGGAATGTAGCTGTTTTCATACAACTGGGACTGAAGTGGGAAAACTACCAAGTTGAGCCAAGAAGCTATGTCCTAGTCTCAGTGCTGTTACTACCTTTGTGACATTAATCAAGTCACTTGTTTAGTATAGACATGTTTCTTTGTTTCTTAAACTAGATTAGTTGTGACAGTTAACACTGGATGATTCCTTACTGACGTTTTTGGTGTTTTTTTTTTTTCTTTTTGACACAGAGTATCACTCTGTCACCCAGGCTGAAGTGCAGTGGCATGATCTTGGCTCACTGGCAATCTCCGCTTCCCAGGTTCAAGCAATTCTTGAGCCTCAGCCTCCTGAGTGACTCAGATTAAAGGTGTGTGCCACCATGCCTGGCTAATTTTTGTATTTTTAGTATAGATGAGGCTTTGCTGTGTTGCCCAGATGGTCTTGAACTCCCAACCTCAAGTGATCCACCTGCCTTGGCCTCCCAAAGTGCTGGGATTATAGGTGTGAGCCACCACACCCAGCCTGGTGTTAAATTCTCCTAAACCAGTGTTTCAAATTTATTTTTTACTATGATCTACAATGAGTAAATTTTATATTGTGACTCAGTATACACATTTATCAATGTCTTTACATACACAAGTATCACGTTATACACACATGCATATGTGCATACACACACATATGAAATGAAACTGAAGGTTCCATGAAACAATACTTACCCTTGTTACTTGAACGCATTTTTTTCTTTTTCTTCTTTTAGAGATGGAGTCTCGCTCTGTTGCCTAGGCTAAAGTGGCATGATCTTGGCTCACTGCAACCTCCACCTCTGGGTTCAAACAATTCTCTCTGCCTCAGGCTCCTGACTAGCTAGGATTACAGGCGCCTGCCACCACGCCTGGCTAATTTTTGTGTTTTTTAGGTGATCGGCCTCTCAAAGTGCTCAAATTATAGGTGTGAGCCACGGCACCCAGTCCATTGTGGTATTTTTAATTCTATTTCGTTAAGAAAAAGCTGGTCAAATCCCACTCAACTGACTTCATGACCCACAGTTTGACAATCAGTCTAAGCACAATCCTGCAAGTGGAGGAACGGCCTCCAGGTGGACACAGGAGACTGCATAGGTTAGCTAAAATTCTAATCACTGAAGGAGAAACTTAACTGTATAGATACAATCCACATGTTGAATGAATATGCTATAATTTTAGTGGAAAATTACGACATTCTAAATAAAAACAGTACGAGTATTCTCTATCAGTGAACTTGCTTGTTTTAAGCTCTGGATAAATTGAACTCTAGTTTTTTATGTTTCTAAGAATGAGCTTTTTTGAAAACTTTCTTTCACCTGTTAGACTGGCTTTTAACAATCAAAAGAATCCTAGCTTTTTGATAAATAGATCGTTTTCCATTTATAAACAATCCTCTTTAAAGTTTCTACAGCTTTTGCAAGAGTACTTCTTAAAAGCACTTGATTTCTTTATAACTTTTTTTTTTTTTGAGACAGTCTGTCACGGAGGCTGGAGTGCAGCAGTGCAATCACAGCACTTCAATCTCTGCCTCCGAGGCTCAAGGGATCCTCCTGCCTCAGCCTCCTGAGTAGCTAGAACTACAGGTGCATGCCACCTTGCCTGGCTAATTTTTGTATTTCTTTTGTAGAGATGAGGTTTCACCACGTTGCCCTGGAATGTCTTAACCTTTTGGACTCAAGTGCTCCACCTGCCTCAGCCTCCAAAAGGGCTGGGATTCCAGGCATGTGTCACCGCGCAGGCCTATAATAACTTTTAAAGGCATGGTTAAAAATAAAACAATTGTGTGTTCCCCTTTTACTTTCAAAACCTATTTTGAGGGGAGACACCATAATTAGATTCTACTCTTTCCATCTTTTACCCTAGCCTCAAAATCCTCAATGGACACACTATTACAGTTTTTCAGTTCAAGTTCTGGCATGCTAGGGCATTATGGGGAATGCTTTTTTGCTTTTTTTTTGAGACAGTTTCTCACTTTGTTGCCCAGACTGGAATGCAGTGGCATGATCTCAGCTCACTACAACTTCCACCCCCCAGATTCAAGTGATTCTCATGCCTCAGCCTCCTAAGTAGCTGCGATTACCTATGTGTGCCACTATACTCAGCTAATTTTTGTATTTTTAGTAGGTATAGAGTTTGGCCATGTTGTCCAGGCTGGTCTTGAATTCCTGGTCTCAAGTGACCTGTCTGCCTTTGCCTCCCAAACTGCTGGGATTACAGGCATGAGCCATCACTCCTGGCCTTGACTTCTTGTGTCTTAGATAATATGCAAGCATCCAGGGTAATGGGTGATTCATTTAGGTCCCATAAACACCATAATCCAAGGATGAGAAAACTGGGTCTGATTTTCTGAGCAGTGTTCTCCTTTCAGTTTTAATCACACACATTTATATGTGAACAACCACTGGAATTAAAGATACCTTCAACAGTTCAACTACCTAAGGGAGTATTTCACTTAGCTGAGAAAAATATCAAGTACTTTCTTTAAAACGTTACACTCCAACAAATACTTTCAGGTAACACTTCTAAATAGATGATTATGACTGTTATTTTAAAAACAGGACATAATCTCCATTTACTAGTTTGCAATGTTTATTATACAATGAACTTAATAATAAGATTTTATGCCATTTCTGGCCAGGCATGGTGGATCACATCTGTAATCCCAGCACATTGGGAGCCTGAGGTGGGCGGATCACAAGGTCAGCAGTTCAAGACCAGCCTGACCAATATGGTAAAACCCCGTCTCTACTAAAAATAAAAAATTAGCCAGGCATGGTTGTGCAGGCCTGTAGGCCCAGCTACCTGGGACGCTGCGATAGAAGACTTGCTTAAACCCAGGAGGCAGAGGTCACAGTGAACCAAGTTTACACTCCTGCACTCCAGCCTGGAAGACAGAATGAGAATCCGTTTAAAAAAAAAAATGCCGTTTCCATCTATTGTACATCGCCCTCTGCTACTTATATGAGAATTATAACAAATCCTAAACAAAGTTTTGAAAGGGTTAAAGCTTAGATTTGGTGCATTTCTATTTATCTTTTATTATACTTTTATCCTCATCTAAAGGCAACTATATACAAGAAGACTTGCAACTCTGCAGTTGCTCTGTGACGCTGGCTCACTGGGATAGGAGTATGGCCCAATTATGTGCCTTTGTGCCTTGACCTTTATCTTGTAACTTTCCCAACCTTGTCAACCCAACTTTCTAATATTACCACAGTGTCTGTATTGAAAATTAACCATCACCCCTAACTTTGGATCTGTAGCAAAGAGTCAGACAACTCCACTTTCAGGCCAAAAATTGTTGGCTTCACATTTACAGTGTTGGAACTGCTACTACTTGTCCTTCTCATGTGGCATCACCACTTTTTCTATTTTCAATATGGTGTGAGCTAATCTTTTGAATACATACAATTTCCATCAAATGTATGTTACGTTGTTGAAGCGCAATCAGATTTTTTTGTTTCCCTGAAAAAACCCCTTTTCAGGATATATTCCTGTTTAATTTTCTATAGCTGGGTAAGCACTCTGTACTATTCCTGGGGCTGTTTTAAAAACACCGTCTGTGCTGATCCAAATCAAACAGACCTTTAGAGGGTACTGACAATGATGTCTTCATTGAATATGATCACTGCTGAAGCTTTAGCTCCTTGTTTGCTCTGTAATGCTGTGCCAAGATCTTGGCCTTTAGATGTTCCCAGAATCCCTGGAAACATTACTTATTTGTTTGTATCAGCATTAGAATGGTTTTGCATTCACAACAAAATGTGAATCTCTTACTGGGTTGAAGTTGTTTTCTTTACCTAATCATAAGACTTGAAGCCCGATGGAACAGAATTTTAAGTAAAACATACCAGAAGTCAGAGTAATAGGATTCCTTTGTTTTTCAACCTTTGGTAAAAAATGTCTTCCTAAATATTACAGCATTAACATTTAAAAATTCTGAGGGATACTGGTGAGAACTATGATTAAAGATTCACAATATTTCACTTTTAAGACATAAAAAAACTACTCTTCATATCCTAGCCTGATGACTTAAAGATATCAGCAGGGTATCATAAAAAAATAATCTGAACACTCAAAATGGGCTTTATTTAAATATCATAAAGGCTAAACATTATGGCTCTACCAAAATAAAACACTAAGAATATAAGCAGAAATAACATTTCACATTTCTGTTTGGAGTTTTAAAATAATACACTAGTCATTGATTCCTTTCTATTTTGGCTACATTTTGAGTAAGAGAACAGAAGCATTTAAAATGAGTTCTTTTAAAAAACAACAAAAAAAGGCAAGTCAATACCAAGAACCAAGCATACTCCCATCAAAGGGAACAGGGAAGCACAGGGAGTGCAGTCCACTCAGTGGTTAGTCAGATAAGATGGGCGCCACACTTGCCCACTGGTGCGTGTCAGCCTCGATGCCAGGGCGGCAGGGACCTGAAACGTGGAGAGGCAGACAGTTTCACTGGCTCCCACTGGCTCCTCAGGCCAAAGTCCAGGCTTTGTGGGGTTCCTGTCGTCCTGCCAACCATGGAACTCCTGGGACACTGCTAGGAGAACGCTGGCCAAATCCTGTATGAGAAGTCACCTCCATCAAAGTCTCCTCAATGTCGGGGAGTCAGACTACAGGAAACCCCTTTTATCAGATTTTATGGTGTCTGTACACTAGCCAAGGAAAGTAAGGGAAAGAAAAAGAAAGCAACTTGTTTAACCTCATCTAATAGAAAGGAAAGGATTCTCCAAAGTAGTTGATCTGGGAATGAAGCCCAATATCTCTAAATCTCAGCTCAGGGTACTAGGTTTTTATTTACCCATGGTTTGTAGAAACTTAACTCATTAAGATCCTATCTGCTCTGGGCTATCATATTATTGGTTTCTCTAACAGAGTGGCCCAAAGCCATTGTTGGACACATGCAAAATAATCTGTGTACCATCTGACAATAATCCATACACAAAGCATTCAGCCATACACATATCTCCACAGTACAGACACATATTTAAAACATTTTTAAAAGTGCAGAGGTCTTCATCTGTCATTCTTAAGGCTACTAATAGGAAATATCACTTTTAATAAGGTTCCTCAAACACCACATGCATATGTAGATGCAGAGATGAATATTCACATACCTGTGTGTAGATGTTCAGAAACAAGCAGGACCACCACACATATGCTTGCAGTCTCTTTTCTGAACCAATAAAGACAATGCTTTCCTAAGGAATGTCTGAATTTTATTGTACTTTTTTTTTTTAAAAAGAGAATATCATAATCTTAATTTCTTTCAAATGGATAAACTTAGACAATTTATCAACGCTTCCTTACATTTTTACACCACGCTGAACTCCAACAGGTTTTTGTTTTAAGGTAAACCAGGTTTCTGGTTCTTCCCTGTGGAGAAGTTACTTTCAAGTCAGTGAAAGTTCTTGGCCCATGATTAAAAGTCTTTGCCAATTAGTACTCAACAACTTCAATTCATTTTTTTCTGGTTCAAGATGAGTAGGAGCCTAATAAGGCTGTGATAAAAGGGCAAAAGGCACTGAGAGCCAAAAGCGGATTAATGAGCTCCTCCATTTATTTGTCTTCCTAACAGCTGAACTGTTACAACTATTGACACTCTTCAAAAGGTTCCGCTCTGAACCCTGTCCAGGCACTGCAGGCTCCAATGGACATCTTCAAATCCAGAGAATGGAGGGGCAAGAGCTTCCCCTGTGTGATGCCAAAACCAACAAAGCCCCATGGATCAGGTAATGAAACTTCAGCTTTTCCCCCTTTGAGATTTATTTACTGGCAGCTGACAAGGGGCAAATTCAGCTCGAATTGTGCAGTCAAGGCCCTGTCAAGCTTTTAGAGGCACCCTTGTCTTGAAGCACCTTCATGACTGGCATTTCACTCAAAGCCCTCGGCACTGGTCCTTAACAGCTTATGACATCACAAAGGACACTCCAGACAGATGCCTACATGGCATCCTGCAGCATTTTAAAAGAGAATTAGTGGTTTTAATTATGGTCGTAGTATGAAAGGGAACCATGCAAGCTCCACAGGAGACCTTTGATCAGACCCTTTTGCTAGTACAATGCCACGGAACTGTGACTATTCCTGGTAAGGGGCCTTTTCTTGCTGAATGACTCACCAGTGATCTTTGAATGCAGACAAGCTTCTAGCCCTCCCTCTTCATTAGTGAGCATTTCTATACAGGGGCCTATATAGTGCTTGGAGTCTAGGAGCTATACAATTGGGGGGAAAAGAAGCCCTACAGATTCTGGCCTCTACTTAGGAAGTGCTGAAGGACTCTGAGTGACTTTATTCATTAAAACAGGTTGCTATTAATTAACTGTCATAATAAAATAAAGAACTATTATTTGCATTTCTTACTATGTTCTCTTTAGTAATATGTATAAAAGATGCTTGTAACAGAAATGAATTTATTGAGCCCCTTCCCCATCCCCCCCAGTCCCTGCCTTTTTTTCCCCTTTGCATTTTGGCAGCAGGAACCTACTAATTATTGGGCCTAGATCTCTGAGTCCAAATAGAAGTAAAACATAAATATAAAATTAAGTAAATGCAAAATCCTTTTTACTTGCCAATCAGTTTCTGAAACTGAAAGAAGCAAACAGTAAATTAGTTTTTTTTTTTTATTTCAGAGAACGATCTAAGACAGTAAAACAAACTTTAAAAATATCACCCACTTAGTGTTTAGCTTGAAGTGTAAGACTATGTAACAACTATAGCTACTTTGTAAAAAATGTATTCTCACCTAAAGCCTAACAAGATTCATTCTTCTTTTTTTTTTTTTCCCAGAAAACATAAAATGTCTTTGGTCTGGTATTACTATAAAAAAAATTTAACCTTTAAAACTGACCTCAATAAGCATGGCCCTTAAACAGTTCATGGTCAATATTTAGTTACATGAAAATAGTTCATTCTCTTCTAGAATCTAATCAAGCACAGTCATCTGGTGAAAGACTGGAAGTCAGAAGACTTTTCAAAAGCTTCTCACTGAAAGGTTAATTTGGTAACATGGGATAAACAGAATTTTGTGTAAGTGGGAGATCTTAGTCACTCAACACCCCATGAAACAGTACTGCTGGACCATGTTACTTATATCTAGGAGATGATCGTATCTCAGAGATGACTTAGTTTTAAATGTTTTATGCAGTTTCTTTTCTTGAAGGAAAAACTTCCGGACTTCATAATTTTGGAAGCTGAATGATGAGCAGGTTTTTCATATTTTGCTGTCTCAGACATTTTTCCTACTTCTCAGACTTTGCAGTTCTTTTCTTAGGTGCTTTATAGCACCTAAAATATCAGCGTGCTGTGGATCATTCTGTGCTTTCTGAGAATACAGACGAAAATGTTTGATGGTTTCAGATAGCAGGACTTCAGGGTCTGCATCTCTTGCCTGAAGGCGCAGCATCCGCTCACAGGCGATGGCATAGTTCTTGTGCCAATTCACTGGGTGTTCCTTTTGTAAATAGACAATCTCCTTATAAAGCTAGAAAACAGCAGAAATTTTGGTATTCCATTGTTAATCCCCCCCCCAAAAAAAAACCAGAGGAATTAACAAGAAAAAAAAAATCCAAGCAGCCTTCAGTAACAATCTAATCATTGCTAGGCCATGCAGAAAATGCAAGGATGTTACTGTAATTACTACAGTAGCGGGAGGCAAATATGCTGCATGTAAAACTGCTTCTGAGGTTTTCGGATGTTGCAGGGGAAACCTAAGACACCCTGTGTCAGGACAAAATGCCCTTCCTCCAGAAAGATGTTCTGGGGAAGGGATTTAATTTTAATTCATGAAAAGCTATTTACTCAACAGGTAGAAGGGTTGAAACTCTAAGTTTACCTGTTGGAGGAAAAAAAACAAACAAACAAACAGCTTTCTTTAGAAGACTGCCCAGAAAAAGAACTTGAAGGAATTTAAATTTTTGTCCCATATTTTTGACAAAAATTTCTCTCTACATTAAAAACAACACTAATAACAATAGCAAAGATAAAACAATCCAGACAAATTCATTATCATAGAGGCTGGGTGACAGAATTTAAGAGACATCCATAAAGTGCGATACTGAAAGCTTCACAGTATCCTGTGATTTACAATTGTGATAGTTAAAAGTTTGCACACAGGAATTTAGAATTTCATTTTTCAACATCAGAGAGAGTATTAATTGAATAGTTAGATTTTTTTTTGATAGTGAGTTTTCCACAGAAAACACATAAAAAATTTAACAAGTAAAAAAGCAGATACAAATCTGCAAAAGAGAATATTACAGTTGCTTATTTGGGAATGTCACAGCTTTCTTGGAGACTGTCAAGTTAGAGATGTATTCACAGCCGTTTACCTGTAGACTTTCTGAGACAACAGAAAAGCAATAGTGCTTTCTCCAAGGAACAAGTGCTTTTTGAATTAGACATGACATCAGTTAGTTAAAAGAAACCCAATCATTTTGTCTATTTTTCTAATTCCCACTCCGGGGCAGACAAACGCATACCTATTTTAAAATAGCACCCTCATGAAAAATTCCACAATCCATGTTTTGATGTATCTTTCACTAGTTAATAACCCTCAGTCTTCCAGCTGCCTTTTAAAGCAAATTTCCCCTTAGTTCCCTTCCTTTTATACCACAGGGAAGAGGCTGGGCATGGCAGCCCATGCCTGCACTCCCGGCACTTTGTGAGGCCAAGGCCGGAGGATTGCTTGAGACCAGGAGTTGGAGACCAGCTTGGCCCACAGAGCAAGACCACATCTCTAGTTAGAAAAAATAAATGGAAAAAAAATGGGAGAGAATCACCACACGCTTTCATATACAGCAAGGTGATTGTCAGACTCCTACCCTTTATCCTCTTGGTAAAATTTTCAAAGCTTCTTTACCCTTTCCTCACCACCCTTTTTTTCTCCGGTGGTTTCTCTTCATGAGCTCTCCCCGGTAAGACACGGGTATAAAGGCTGTAGCACGCTGCCCCACACTTAAAGTAGGCATTCAGGAACTGTTCAGTTTTCAAAATCCTAAGTGTTGCTTTTTTAAAAAATGAAGTATAATACATATTTTTATACAAATCTATGCCACTTAGATTGATGTTTGTTACTTTTCTATTTTTAATTTTTACAGGTACACAGTATCTATAAGGTACATGAAATATTTTGATATGGCTTGCCATGTATAATGATCACATCAGGGTAAATGGGGTATCCATCACCTCAGGCATTTATCTTTTCTTTGTGTTACAAACAATCCAATTATACTCTTTTAGTTATTTTTAAATGTATCATAAATTCCTGTTGACTGTAGTTACCCTGCCGTGCTATCAGATACTAGATTGTATTTATTCTAACTATATTTTTGTACCCATTAACCATCCCCACCCCACTGCCCCACACTAAAGTGCTGATGTCCAAACAGATGCCAACACTTCCAGCAGCATTTCCCCAACTACTCCAGGGAATGGAGGCTCATTCATAACCCACCTACTAGTCTTCAGGCATCAGGAAAACTGTACTACCTTCTTCTGGAACACTTTGTTACTGACGCATTATCAACTTATTTTAGATGTCCTATTAAGCTACATACACCATATCTTAAGAAGCCTGTCATTTCTCATTATGTGGCATTGTATTTCTTCCTCTATGTTTATGTGTTTCAGTGGACCGTATTCTGCTGGTTGGGGACACGTTCAAATTATCCAATTTATTCCTATAACATTGGTTACTCCCTGTCCTGCTCCCCAACCATGCCTAAATTATTAAGTCACCTGAACTTAATGTTCTGTATGAGCTATTGAGTAGGATAATGTACTCCACAACAAAAACATTCTTTATACCTAACAAGAACAGTCTCGAAAAACTAGCACCGGGGGTGGTAATTAAGTAATTATCACCAAGTAATTTGCCTCACTTGTAAACATTGTCATACATCTGGAGACTATGCAAAGGAGATACCAATAATCTGTGTTCACTGAAAAAAATAAACCTCGCTGACCCAAAGGGACAATAAGAAACCCACAGACGAGCTTTAGTAGTAGCCTAACAACTGACCACGGGAGAGATCACTGATGAGAATGTAAAACAGTAAGTCTCCTATCTCTCCCAACTAAATATTGCTTGTTTTTCGTAGAACTACAAGGTACGGGAGATATACAGCATTATGCTATGAACCGGATATGAAGGACAATCTTTTAAGGTTTAAAGCCCCTTTGCTTTTTCTTTTTTAGAAAAAAAATATCAAGGCCTGGAATGGTTCATTGACTCACAGTTGACAACTAATGGCAGAGTGGGCCTAGAAGCTGGGCCTCCCTACTGCCAGCCAGAACTCCAGCATGCTGCCTTCTATAATCAGGTATCTTGCTGTCCTTAAGTGGGGTGCCTTGGAGGGTTCTGCCTTTGCCCCCGTGGCTCGCTCCTTATGGACTGCTCTCCCCTCCCTCTCACCTCCTTGCCCCACCATCTGTCTGGTTAGCTCCTTCTGATCTTTCAAGATGACACTCTAATGACATCCCCTCTAGAAGCCTTCCCTTCCTCCCTCCCTTGCCAGCCTACTCCCCAGCTTGCTCCGGTCCAGTGCTCTGAGTTTCCGTAGCACCTCTGCATGCCTCTCACAGAACTCACAAGAATGAACTGTGACCAAGGACCTGATCTTCTGTCTCCCTCTCTAGCCTGACACCTTTTTGATAGCAGAGATAAGACTTGTCTCCAATACACTATTTGCATGGAGTGGGTCCTTAAGAAATACCTTGTAAGTGGATAAGTGAATAAACAAGGAGCTAGTGATCACAGTTTAGGAATAAAAGTGGTCAAGTGGTCACACTAATTGGACACCAGGCTATTTTGATTTAGCACCAAACACTTGCCCTGGCTGAGTAGAACCACAGCAGTCTAGAGATAGCAAAAAGAGCTGCTCAGACATACAGGTCCTATGCTCTGTTTTCATTGTCCCTTGTCAGGATATTAAGTTTCCTACATAGCAGACTCTGCAAGTGTCCAAACTGCCCAGTGCCATAAGTCACAGAAAAGCAGAGACTCTTAAATAGTGCCACAGCAAGTCTCCTATATCTGCTCCCACTTCCCATCAGAGAGGACAGATTTGTGCGAGAGCTTCAGTGTGGCTGTGTCTTCCAAAGGTTCATTTGCCTTCCTGGGGCCACAGTTAGAAGACAGAGCCAACCTCCAACCTCCATGACTGTCGATCTCTTCCCATGAAATCTCAACAAGCCATGGCCTTATCATTTCAAGTGGAGCCAGGTCATAACTTTTGCATAGAGAGTAACCTGCCAGACTTTGTTTTATATGAAGCTATTATATTAGTTTCCTACTGCCATTGTAACAAATTGCCAAATGTATTTATTACATGTGGTTTAAAGCAACATATATTTATTATCTTGCACTTCTGGAGGTGAGAAGTCATGAAACCAGCATGACTGTGTTCCTTGAGGAGGCTCTAGAGGAGAATCTGTTTCCTGACCCTTTCCAGCTTCCTCCAGAGGTGGTCTGCACTCTTTCACTCCTGGCCCCTTCCTCCATCTGCAGTCAGTGTGTAGAATCTTCATGTTTCTGTCTCTCTCTGCCCTCTGCTTCTGCATCATGTCCACTTCTCTGACTCTGACCTGCCTAATTCCCTTTTATGAGGGCCTTTATGATTATGTTGGGCCCTCCTGGATAATCTGGGGATAAACCCTTGTCTCAAGACTCCTAACTTAATCCATCCCAAACCCCGCTTTGTTACATAGGTAACATACAGGTTCTGGAGATTAGGACATAGACATCTTTTTTGGGTAGGAGGTGTTATTCTGCCTACCACTGCCATTTACTTTGGATATTGTGATACAATTGAGCATTTGTTCATAATGCTGCTTTATACCATCCAAATTAAGATGGAAATAAAAGGATGAAAACTCTAATGTGATACACCCTCTAACCATCCTGAACAATCACCGTCACCTTCCCACCACTATATATAAAAGTGTAACAGGGGTTTCTGCCAAGATGGCCGAATAGGAACAACTCCAGTGCGCAGTTCCCAGAGATAGCAACACAGAAGCTGGGTGATCTCTATGTTTCCAACTGAGGTACCATGTTCATCTCATTGGGACTGGCTAGACAGTGGGTGCTCACCCATGAAGGGCAAGTTGAAGTAGGGTGGGGCGTTGCTTCACCTGGGAGGCTGCAAGGGGTGGGAGAACTCCCTCTCCTAGCCCAGGGAAGCCATTAGGGACTTTTCCTGACACTGGCTCAGATACTGTGCTTTTCCCACGGTCTTCATAACCCCCAGACCAGGAGATTCCCTCTGGTGCCTACAACACCAGTGTCCCAGGTTTCCAGTACAAAACTGGGTGGCCGTTTTAGCCACAGTAGGTTTTTTTTTTTTTTCATATATCCCAGTGGCGCCTGGAACACCAGTGAGACAGAACTGCTCATTCCCCTGAAAAAGGGGATGAAGCCAGGGAGCCAAGTAATCTGGCTTGGTGGGTCCCACCCCCACGAAGACTAGCAAGCTAAGATCCACCGGCTTGAAATTCTCACAGCCAGAACAGCAGTCTGAGCTCAACCTGGAACAGTTGAGCTTGGTGCGGGGAGGGGCGTCCGCCATTATTGAGGCTCAGGTGGGCAGTTATAACCTCGCCTGTGTAAACAGTCACTTGGAAATTTACAGAGGAACTAGGCAGAGCCCATGAGCTCAGCAAGGCCTCTGGAGGCAGACTGTCACTAGACTCCCTTCTTGCTGGGTAAGGCATCACAGAAAAAAGGCAGCAGCCCATCAGGGACTTATAAATAAAGCCCCTACCTTCCTGGACAGAGCACCTGGGAAAAGGGGTGATTGTGGGTACAGCTTCAGCAGACTTAAATGTTCCTGCCCAGCAGCTCTGAAGGGAGCAACAGATCTCCCAACATAGCGTTTGAGCTCTAATAAGGGACAGACTGCCTCCTCAAGTGGCTCCCTGACCCCTGTGTATCCTGACTGAGAGACATCTCCCAGCAGGGGCTGAAAGACATTTCATGCAGGAGAGCTCTGGCTGGCATCTGGCGGGTACCCTTCTGGGGTGAAACTATCAGAGGAAGGAACAGGCAGCATTCTCTGCTGTTCTGCAACCCCTGCTGATGATTCCCAATCAAATGGGGTCTGGAGTAGAGCTCCAGCAGACCTGCAGCAGAGGGGCCTGTTAGAGGGAAAACTAACAAACAGAACATAGTTTCAATATCGGCAGAAAGGAAGTCCACTCAGAGACCCCATCCAAAGGTCACCAACTTCAAAGACCAAAGGTAGATAAATCTACAAAGATGGGAAGAAACCAGTGCAAAAGGCTGAAATCTCCAAAAACCAGAATGCCTCATTTCCTCCAAGGGATCATAACTCCTCACCAGCAAGGGAACAAAACTGGATGGAGAATGAGTTTGACAAACTGACAAGCAGGCTTCAGAAGATGGGTATTAACAAACTTCTCCGAGCTAAAGGAACATGTTCTAATGCAATGCAAGGAAGCTAAGGACCTTGAAAAAAAGGCTAGATGAAATGCTAACTAGAATAACCTGCATAGAATTGATGGAGCTGAAAAACTGTATGAGAACTTCATGAAACATACACAAGTTTCAATATCCAAATCGATCAAGCAGAAGAAAGGATAACAGATTGAAGATCAACTCAATGAAATAAAGTGAGAAGGCAAGATTAGAGAAAAAAGTGAAAAGAAATGAACAAAGCCTCCCAGAAATATGGGATTATGTGAAAAGACCAAACCTACATTTGAACAGTGTACCTGAAAGTGATGGGGAGAATCAAACTGTAAGGTTGACCTAAAGGATGGAGAGGCAGACCCAGGCTCAGGTTTAGAATGTTTATTTCAACCTGCCAGGCCAGCTATCTCACCACGGCAGTGAAGGCAGCAAACTGGCCTACAGACTATGGGAGTTATATAGGGGGTTTGCAGATAGCTGGTGCTATTCTAAGAAAAACTGCATCTTGGTTCTTAGGTGTTAACATTCTGCTTAATTGGGTCACCATCCTGGCTTTGAGAGCTGGGTGGGACCACATCCTGGAATCCAGGTACCCTGTTTATAAGGCCTGAGGCTGTTTTTGTTGTGAGCTCGGCTTAGCAGGGGAGAATGGGGAGCGGGTTTATGGGCTTGCCTTGTTGTGACCCTAACATTACAGCCTTTTGTTATATATGTAAAAGAAAGGGAGAAGGGGCACTGTTCATTTCTCGCTGCTTCATGCTGAGTAGGGACGCTGGTTGGGGTGAGGCTAGCATGCAAGTTGTAGTCCTGGAATATCATCATGTCTTGTATTGCACTGCAGATAAAGGCTTGTAATCGATTCTGCAAAAACTAGGTGAAAAGACGTAGGAGACAAGGGCCAAAGACCAAGAGGAGGAGGAGAGTTATAGCAGAGATAAGGAGCAGAAGCAGCCAAGGGGCCCAGGAGCTGAGAGATGAGCTGAGAGACCTGAGGGGCCAGGCGGGTCAGGCAGAAGAATTGTTTTCTTTTCATTTTTGGGCTCGGTCTTTGAGTCTTTTGACATCTTGCACTATTCTGATTGCTTGAGATAGAAACAACATTGTTTGTCTAGGAAGACGCAGAGACCACCTTTTTCAGCGGTAAGTAGATTGAGGCCTCTGCGGATCTGGAAGACAACTGCAGCCAGTGAATCTATTTGTGTTTGGAGGGTAGAAATGGACTTGGTCATGTCCTCTATACTGTCTGTAAGGTCTTTGGAGAGGAAGCCATAGTAGGAGAGAGTTGGAAAGCTTGGCAGTTCCTGTAGCTATTCCTAGTCCCACAGCAGATGTATGAGCTGCACCGCCCAGCACTGCCAGATAGGAGTGCTGACTGGGATGGATAAGGATTGGTTACCTGGGGCTATACTAACTTTTAGGCTGAGGAATACTAGTAGTGGGGAGGCAAATATAGGTGGAGGTGCTGCATAAAAAGACACCTTAGCTTGGCAGACAGAATTGGTTGTGTATGTTGAAGAGATGTGAAAATTTGTTTTTTTTTTTTTTTTGAGACAGAGTTTTGCTCTTGTTACCCAGGCTGGAGTGCAATGGCGCAATCTCGGCTCACCGCAACCTCCGCCTCCTGGGTTCAGGCAATTCTCCTGCCTCAGCCTCCTGAGTAGCTGGGATTACAGCCACGCACCACCATGCCCAGCTAATTTTTTGTATTTTTAGTAGAGACGGGGTTTCACCATGTTGACCAGGATGGTCTCAATCTCTTGACCTGGTGATCCACCCACCTCGGCCTCCCAAAGTGCTGGGATTACAGGTTTGAGCCACCGTGCCCAGCCTAAATTTGTTTTTTAATGTCCCTGCGAGTGCAGCTGCAGTGAGTGGCTACAGGGGTGCATT